TTCATTTGAACTATTTTTATGTTCATTTGAACTATTTTTATGTTCATTTGAACTATTTTTATGTTCATTTGAACTATTTTTATGTTCATTCTGTGTAATGTTTATCTAATTAATTGTCATGAATATAACTTTATGAAGATTATAAAAAAAATTTTAAAACTGAATTGGGGTAGAAAAATAGTTCAAATGAGCAAGAAATGCGTTGATTTAAACTACAGGATATGACGTCATGTCAGTAGTTCAAATGAACAATAGTTCAAACGAACAATAGTTCAAACGTACCATAGTTCAAACGGCAGTAGTTCAAATGCGGATCCACCTACATTAACCCTGACTGCAAGAAAACGGACTAAACAAATTCCGTACAATCGTCTCTGAAGTCGCATCCTGTGTGGGTAACCCTGTATTTCTTAAAACCGGTAATGCTGATCCGCTCTACTGCCCATCCGTCCTATTGCCCGGCCGCTATACTCCCAACCTACCTACTGCAACATCTGACCTACGACAGCTGCGGATGGGCATATCTTCTTGCCCATCCGACCTATTCAGTAGCTTTTGTCATGCCTCTAGCGCAGTAGGGTAGAAATAATTAATTGTAGCTGTCGGACAGCCACTCAATTTTGTAGGTCAGATGGGCACTTTTTGTAGGTCGGATGGGCATTTTTCGTAGGTCGGATGGGCATTTTTCGTAGGTCGGATGGGCACTTTTCGTAGGTCGGATGGGCACTTTTGTAGGTCGGATGGGCACTTTTCGTATCCGGCCTATGAAAAATGCCCATCCGACCGACGAAAAAGGCCCATCAGACCTACTAACGTGTCCAAGCGACAGCTTAAAGTATAGGTCGGATGCACGAATATTCTGGTTTTAACGTGCCCATCCGACCTACAGTGCATCGGACCTACCACAGCTGTTAAAACCACGTGCTTGTAGGTCGGATGGGCAGTAGAGGGGATGGGCGTAGGTCCAAAAATACACCATCCTTAGAACCTTATCATTAAAGTTCAGAAATATCCGTCTTCCAAAGTTCCAAACCAAATTATTTTAAATTAAAGGGGTGTGAAAATTCAATTATTCTAAAATTTTAATCATTTAAATTTTGTTTGTGTTCTAAATTTTTAAAAATTATGTTAAAAATTATTTCTAAAAAAAAAGTCTACAAAACTGTCAATGTCCCCCTCAAAATTCCTTTTCCGCTTCCCAGTGAGTCCCACGGCCACCGCGGCATGTTACAATATATGCTTTCTTCATCTCACGTGTCTTGAAAGTTGAATCTTAGTCGTGACATATCACAGCAATCGGCAATCCGTAATCGTTGAATCCATCATCACTCATCGCTTTTTTCAACTCCTGATCGGTGGTCTGTGAAAGATCTTAGAATGGTAAGTAGTAAGCAGAAGTCTTCCCTAAATTATTTACAGCATTTGTCAGTTCAAAGCATGCAGGGGTCTGTCCTAGTAAACGATTTTGGTAATTTCCTAGTATACGATTTTTGGACCCCCCCCCCTCCCTATCAATTTTGTACATGGGTGTTTCTTAATGGCCGAGCGCTGCGGCCACGGGTTAGGTTAGTTAAGATACTTTCTGGGCCGAGCGCTGCGGCCACGGGTTAGGAAGAAACTTCCTGTCACACCCACAAAATTGATAGGAGGGGGCGGGGGCTCCGGAGGGGGGTCCAAAAATCGTTCTCTTGGAATATTCCTAGAGGTGTACTATTTTCCGAATCTGAGGTTTTTAAATTATAGTAGAAACTGCTTACTATAATTGAGCGATTGGATTTCTTAGTCATTTATGCAACTTCGGTTGTGTTGATTCAACCTATGGTAAATGAAACTACTTCATTTTAGTCATTCATTTTATATTAACTACAAAGATCTGTAAAAAAATTTATTAACATTAAAGATATTCTAATTTCCAAAATTTTGTCAATGTACTAGGTATATATGCTAATTTCACTTTATTAAAAAAAGAAATGTGTTACTTTTATTCCCCCCCTCCCCCTCCGAAGAGCTTTATACTTAATTTGACATATAGAAATATAGGGCAAGTACGCTATCTGCATTAAAAAACTCGATTTTTGGGTAAAATGTATCTTTGTTATTTTGTTAATTTTTTTTACATTTTTTTAATGGTAATCATGGACATGGAAAATGGAGATCAAGTTACTAAACGGGGATGTTTGTATTGTGTTTCAAAGATTCTAGGGGGGGGGGGGGGTAACTAACCCCAATAACCCCCCTTATTTACGCCACTGAAAAACAGCTGACATTTATTTCTGCTATCAGATGATATCCATATATTTTATTTTGTTATCTATCTAAATTCCTATCACATCGGAAGACAACATTTAAAAATACTAAGGTTCAACCACAGTCAACTGATTTTACCTATGGTTGAACCATAGTTGCACCTGGGTTATCTATACCAAAGGTTAAATAACCATAGGTTTAACTCTACTTATGTTACTTTTGTGTTTAAGAAATCCGAACATGGGTTAACCATAGTGTAAATGACGTTTTACCTATGGTAGGGCCCTTAAGAAATTGGCCTTCTGTTGGTAACTTAGTTGGGAGGGGAGGGGGGTTGTTAGTAATATCCAAGAGGTCTTTTGAAATTTCAAAACCGTTATTGCCCGATGCTGTAAATGCTGCAAGAGATTATAATGATGACTGACTTTGGTCCGTGTTTATGATCTTAATGATTCACCACAAAGTTCTGATATAAAGCTTTAACAAAAAGCTCTTTTCTTAAAAGACTTATCTTGTATGTTTTTTTATTATTTAGTCGTTGAGTGCTGCCCGCCCTCTGATCTCCGTCTACTCTGAGAAGAGTGTACGTGGCGAGACTGTTGTCTGTCTCCCAGCTGTGTTCCGAGCTCCTATTCGTCCTGACATCGTCTCCTTTATCCATCATGAGATTGCCAAGAACAAGCGTCAGCCTTACTGCGTCAATGTCGACGCTGGACATCAAACCAGCGCCGAATCTTGGGGTAAGTTTTAATAAAACTATTTTGCTATATAATCCTCGTACATTTCATCAGATTGAAAAGTTGAAATTATTGCATTAAATTAAGATTTCGTTAAAACCTAACTTGAATCAAAAATCGGTTTACCAATTAAAAAAAATATCTAATTAATATTCTTGGAATTCTGCAAGAACTTCTCTCCTGATGAAATATACGCTCTTTAATGATTAACAACTTGCCCTCTCAGATAACGATGTTGACTAAAATAATATACGCTATAATGAAAACATTTCGGTATTAATTCCATACTTGTAAGACTATCAAGCTTTTGTTGTAAATTGCTCATTTTTAGGAACTGGTCGCGCTGTGGCTAGGATTCCTCGTGTGAGGGGAGGCGGAACCCATCGGTCCGGTCAAGCTGCCTTCGGAAACATGTGCCGTGGCGGAAGGTGAGAACCCAACTAAAAAATATCTAAAAATTCAAACTGTAACTGTAGAAAACTATTGAAAGTGCATAATAATTAGAAGAAATTTATTATTAATTCTTTTGTTTAAAAAAAAACTGTAATTCAAATCTATTAAAAAATTTACCCTTGTGAAACATAGATTTAAACTTTTTTGTCTTGCTATCTATAAAAATGTTCAGAAAAGTTTAATGATTAACAACTTGCCCTCTCAGACAACAATGTTGACTAAGATAATATACGCTATAATGAAAATAGAATATTTCTTTAAAACATAATAGATCACCGAGATATACATTTACAGTTATTAATTTTTAGAATGTTCGCTCCGACCAAGACCTGGAGAAGATGGCACAGGAAAGTTAACACCGCCCAGAAGAGGTACGCAATCTGCTCCGCTATCGCCGCCACAGGTGTTCCCAGCCTCGTCATGGCCAAGGGACACGTCATCGGGGACATCACAGAGATCCCCCTGGTGGTCTCCGACAAGGTCCAGTCCTTTGTCAAGACGAAGGAGGCAGTGGAGTTCCTCCGCAGGAGCAAGGCGTGGAAGGATGTTGAGAAGGTGTACGCCACAAGGAGGATGAGGGCAGGGAAGGGAAAGTTAAGGAATAGGAGGCATGTTCAGAAACTAGGTCCTCTGGTTATCTACGACCAAGATCAGGTACACTTGCCTCTTCAATGAAGTCATTATAAATCGGGGGTATATATTTCCAATCATTATTCTCTGCATCAAGGGTCGTAATACGAAGTGGGGAGGGCTATAATTAAGAAATTTTCTGACTTGAATATATACCCCTGAAACATAACTTGGTTCTTTCCTAGTTTGGATGATAGAAAGAAGCATTTCTATGAGCTGTGCTGAAATTTGATTGAACTTGCATATTCTTGTAAAATGATTATTTATCTTTGGTCCGTGTTTATGAATTAAATGATTCAAACCAAAGTAATGATAAAGTTGTCTTTTTTAAAGAAAATTACCAGCATTTTATCCGATTTTAATATTGCTCTTATTTAGGGTTTGACGAAAGCCTTCCGAAATATTCCTGGCGTGGACTGTATTCAGGTGGATGCTCTTAACCTACTTAAACTTGCTCCCGGAGGTCATCTCGGTAGGTTCTGTATCTGGACCGAGGCTGCCTTCAAGAAGCTGGATGGCCTCTACGGTACTTGGAAGAAGAGTAGCGAGGCTAAGAACAACTGGAACTTGCCTATGCCCAAGATGGCTAACACTGACCTAAGTAAACTTCTTAAATCTGAAGAAATCCGCAAGGTGCTCCGGGCTCCGAACCGTACCGTCAGAAAGGCGCTGAAGACTAAAGCCAATCCGCTGAAAAACATTCGCGCGATGTTGAAGCTGAACCCCTATGCTGCTGTCACTAAGAAGAACGCTGAACTGGTTTCAGCTCAAAACTTACTGAAAAAAGCTGCTCTTGCTGCCAAAGCCCGTGGTGAAAAGGTAGCAGCCGACCCAATGGCCAAGAGGAATCTCAAGGCTAAGAAGAAAAAAGTCGTCAAAAAATAAGATATTACAAATTTTCTGAATATCTGAATTTGTAAAATAAATCTTTCTGGGTTTTTCTCCTCATCATTTTAGTAGAGGACAGAACTAATATTAAACCGTTGTTTGCTTTTGTATGCAAATTCGTAACTTTTGAAGGAATATTTAACGCGATAAAATGACCTTTTTCACTGGCTCAAAATAAAATATGAATATCCATATTTTTGTACACATACGGTCAAAGTTTAAATAAGTAATAACGGCGAACCCCGAAGAATTGAAAAAATTAATATTTTGGTCTGTTATCCCTAGGGTACCCATGAGTTACATAAAACAAATCGGTCAAGTCGGCTGGCTGAGGGGAACCCGTATGCCCGTTTTATCTTTTTGTCTTCCGGTAGTCGTGAGCCACAACCGTACGATCTTCCATGCCATAGTATTTAAGTCTTCAGGCTGTTAATTACGTTTCTATATGACAAATAAATTTAGGGGATTAAAATTGTAATTTATAAAAATCCCGTCGCATCACTCGTAAGGTGATACCTTAAAGAAATTTTAGAAGGTTATTAATGATTTAAGAATTGTACATCATTTACGCATTGTGGGCAGTGGGCACCAAGTCGAATTGTTTGGGGGTAGTCATAAGAATAAGAAAAAATGAGAAATCGCGATATCAACTATCATTACCTGAGCGTTAAAAATTTCCACAAAAAAATATTCTATTTTGCAATTTTCTCTATAAATAGTGCATATTTTCGGTTCAAGGGTTCGCCTTTTGTACTTTAAAAGAGGCTTTTGGGTGATAATTTTTTTGTGTCTTTAAGAGGAAAGATAGATGTTGTTTTGGGGGAAAATAAGTTTAGCGGTTTACAGTCTTTACAGTAAAAGGAGTTATCATTATTTCAATTTAAAACATGTATAAAAATATTTTTATAGATATCTTTTGTATGACGTCGCTGGATTTTTGAAATCACCATTTCAATGCACTAAATTTATCATTTTAAAACGTACATGGGCAGACCACAGACCCATAGCTAGGAATTTAAAATTGGGGTGGGCACAAAATTTAAAAATTGCAGGTATAAGGTATATAATCATGGGGGCGTTTCGCAGGCGAAAAAACTGGAGGTTCATATAAGATGTAGAGATTTGAGTTTAACTATATAAATATGTCTGAATTTCTGAAAACTTTTAATCTCAAACAGCTTATATTTATTTTTAATACAGGGAAAGTAAAGGACGTAATTGTAAAGATAAAAAAGCGTTAGCATGAAAATCTTCATTTTTGCAAAACTAAAGTTCGATAGAAACTCGCCTGCAAGCATGAGGTCGAGTTCTAGCGATCCGACTGGAACAGCAGAGAGCTTTTTCTGCTTTCTTTAATTTTTCGTTTTCTTCTTTTCATTTTTTTAATTTTCTTTTGTCTCAGAGTGTGCCCCACCCAATTCGAGTATAAAGGTTGGGGGCACGTGCCCCTGTCCCCCCTATAACCTACAGGCCTGGATTCCCTGGATATGGGGATCCAAAGTAGGGTTTCCAATCGCAAAACTTTTGCGCAATTTTTGCGATTAAGTATAGACAGGCTAGGGGGATGAGCACCGCGGCTAGGACAGGCTAGGGAGCCGGGCGCTGCGGCCACAAGTCCATATATCAGCTGTAAAATCACAAGTTCGTAGGTCGGAAGTGCAGTATAGCGAATTTGGCGTAGGTCAGAAGTGGAGTATAGCGGATTTTCGTAGGCCAAGGTTTAGATCCACTTCCAAGAGCAAATGCCGCAATCAGTTCTTTTGTAAACCCTTGTCCGACAAAATGTTTGCGCGAAATGCGCTTGAATAATTAAACCGAATAAGTAAATTGAAGTTAAATGTATTTTGATTTTTGATAATGTTTATGTGCAGGTATTTTCTAGTCCCATATCCATTTTGAATTTATTCTTAGCGGCCATTTTTAATTTCAGAATTAGCTAGAACACGAATATGTCTGCGGAGAACGGAACACAGAACGGTGGAGAGAAAAGGAAGGTGGAGGATGAAGGCGATACTCTCAGGTGATAACTTTTAGGCGTTGAATCGATTTTTTGATTGTAGGTTTTGTTTGCTGCGCTAGGTTTAGACACTTTCTGGGCCGAGCGCTGCGACTAGGACAGGCTAGGGGGCCGAGCGCTTCTGCCACGGGTTAGCTAGTATGTTGCTTTCGATTTTGGTTTCTCTTCATATTAAGGTTTCAGTGGTACCATTGTCAACCGGGCATTTTCATTTTTGCATGGAGGGTCACGTAAAATTACACTTACGATCCCTTTATCTATAAACATATAAAAACAAATAAAAGCCTCCAAAATCGTCATCTGCAGGGTAGATAGGAAGGTATAAAAAACTTATCCTTGTTTGTGTTAGAATGTGAATTTTTTCATGAACTAGTCAACTATTTAGAAAACGTGAGAAACTGGAGGCTGGAACCCTTCTGTTTTCCGGTGCTACGGATTGGAAGGTATAACTTTCTTAACACTTCAGTTGTATTATTTTCTTATAACCAGAGGTCGAAACCTTTCTTTCAAGACTGACAATGACAACCGCAGTATATATAAGATGAATTAAATTCATCCATAGGTCTGTATGGATGGGAGCTTGATCTCGAGATTTACAATTTATAAGTTCTGAATTATGTTTTTTTTTTGTTCATATTCAAGTTTACATTTAAAAATAAATTCTTCTTCTTATCGATTTTATTGAACAAAAAAATAAAACAATATTAGACTATATGTATAGAGCTACTTTTCGTAGCACTCTCCAACAAAATTTAAAAAACAAGGAAAACAAAAATCCAGGGAAAACTCAAAGAGAAATAGAAGACAGGAGCTCTAATCATGATTACGTCTGTATGACAAATGAGCTTTAATCACGTTTATGCTTTTATTGTTCCATACCGTAGCAGTTTTAGTCCTTCATTCTTAGAGTTAGCTTTACATTCGGTTATCCTGTAGATTGCCTTGAAATAGCATAGGCAGATCTTCCCCATCCTAATCCTGACAGGGTTGTCCAGGTGGAGCATATCTTTAGGTTTGGTTTCCCGCCATCACCCAAATCTGTGCTAATAAATTCAGTGCTCCTACATCTCCTTTATTTTATATTCGATATTTACGTATTTTTGTTATTTCAGGAAGTTGGCCGAAAGACGAATGATCTGTCTAAGTCTGCAAACACTCAATGGTCACCAGTTCGGCTTGCGGCTTTAAAGGTTTTTTTTTGCACTGCTTAGGATCTATAATATTCAAGACCCCAGGATTCGGATTTACAAAATTATGCGGATCTACGAATCCGGACTCCGGAGACAAGTGGCAAAACTATAGAAAACAGCAAAAAAGCTGTATTCTATCAAAAAATCAGAGAGACTGTACTGTGGAAGTAGTTTGAAGTGACTTTCTAATTTTAAAAATGCATATTCGAATTACATCGGTACTCTAATCCTATATCTGAGGAATCTGAGTAACAATTAGAAGGATGGTGTCGTTTATCATCTTTTATCAAATAAATCTAGATTTAGCATAAATTTTTGTCGGTTTCTTGAAAATCTGAGTAAAACTTGAATAATTATTCATGAACTGGATACGTGATCTTTTCACATAAAATAGAAATAGATAAAATAATATTCTAGGACGTGCAAATAGCATCGGTTGGTGTTGGCAGCAACTCTGCCTTCTGTATGGCAATCTCTGAGGATGGAAAGGTTTACGCGTGGGGCAGGTATGTTTTTTATCAAAAGTTTTATTGAAATAATAAATAATTTTCAATAATTTTTATTTTGCGAGTTTTAAACAGATATGTGATAGTGGAGAAAAACAGGTTCTTTATTAACCGATTAGGTATGTTCACTTGTCCTGATATAATAATGTTAAGGAATGAGATGGGTCAGCTTGGTCTAGGAGATACCAAGGATAGATTCTGTCCAACCTTGATCACAGAACTCTCCGGGCACAATGTTGTCAAGGTATTCATTTTAATTCTAGTCTGTCGACCCCTAATTCTTCACAGACAAGGTCCCGTTTAAGGAAATTTATACTCTCTTATTCGTGGCACTTTGAATTTAGATGGGGGGGATGGGGTTAAATTCTTCAAAAGTCTCCCCCCCTCTCTTTGAAAACATTGTTCCCCCAAGAAGTCAGGTATGATTGCACGGAGCGGCAACTTTTTTGGAGGCTTTATTCGTTGAATTGGGGAATAGAAGTAACGAAAAAGATAAAAAATCTTGCCTTATGATTTCCATTTCTTCAGAACATACAATTAAGTTCCCAATTCTTTCACAGTAGAATGTAAAGTGTAAAGAGAACACGATCCCCCTCTTCTCTCCTGCTTTACCTTCTTGATTTTCAAAATTTTTCTGTCCAGGTTTGTACAGGGAAATCCCACTCCCTGTTCCTGACTAGTGAAGGCAAGGTTCTAGCTGCAGGGTCAAACTCTGCCGGTCAGTGTGGAGTAGGGAAGGGGAAAGATCAGCTGACTACCCCCAAGATCATAAACTACATGGGACCCGATATTGTAGATGTAAGTATATATTTACAGGTCGGAACTGTCGATTTGTTGCATAACTTTGTTTTTGAAATTTTATTGTCCAGTCTAGTAAGAGCATGACATTTTGGATGAAAAGCATTTACAGATTGTAAAAACCCGTTGAAGTCATTTTTAAGTATAAATTACAAAGTTACAAAGTATGTTTAAGTCCGGTTAAGCCAGGTTCATTGTCCGTCCTCAAAAACAAATACAGGATCCCCGGTTTTAATAAAGTACCCCAAGGTGGCGTGTGGAGCTGAGTTCTCCATGATCCTGGATGAGGAGGGCGGAGTCTGGTCTTTCGGGCACCCGGAGAACGGAACCCTCGGACACAATGACGACGGCAAGTTTATGGCGAAGGCGAATAAAGTCGATTTCAGGTACGTGGAAAAAAAATGTTCATTTCTGAAAATAAAATGTTATTAAGTAATTTGCCTCAGTATGCACAGATAAAAATATTAAATACGAAGTATGAATTACGTCCGCGATTTTTTTAGTCCGTTTTGTTTTTAGCTTTAAAAAAGCGTAAGTTGCAATATCACGCTGTTATCATCTTAATTATTAACTTGAAGAAGAAGAAGAGCATTATAGGCTAGAATTCGTAAGTAATAACCTTGCTCACTGCTCAGTCAAGATTTTGTTGGTTTTTAATGCCGATATGTCATTTTTAAAATCCCTTCCTTCCCTAGATACGAGTATGCTCCCCTGAAGATTCCTCTGTTTGTTGAGAAGGATTCTAAATCCAAGGAGATCACTCCGCTCCCTACACCCAAGATTATCAAGATAGCGTGTGGTCCAAACCACACCGTCGCCGTGGACGACAACTGCAAGGCGTACTCCTGGGGGTTCGGCGGCTATGGACGACTGGGACACGCGGAGACTTCGGACGAGCTTGTTCCTCGTCTCATCAAGTACCTGGACCAGAAGAACAGGGGGGTCAGGTGAATAAAGTTGAATCTTTTTACAGTGAGATTAATAGAACTGTGGAATACATTTTCATGAATATAAGAATAATTTTCGATGCCCTTGAAGGAAAACAAAGTTTTTTTCCCACTTATTGTTAATCTCACTCCTAATTTTATTTTTCCACAAAAGTATTAAAAGAGTGGTATAATCTTGAAGGTTTAGCCAATTTTGATATAATTTTGCACCAAGACTTTATTCTCCCCTCAAGAAACTAATACACTTCTTTGATATTTCCATATTTGGGGGTGTACAAAGAATAACAACGTACGAGAGTCTTGATTAAAAATTCTCTTCTAATGTCTGATCATGTAAAGTAAACCAAATTATATTATCTAAGGGATGTATTCTGCGGGGGAGCCTTTAACATCGCCATGTCTGAGATCAAGGGAATGGTCCAGATGTGGGGGATCTACATGCCGAACAAGGAGGCCAACATGTACCCCAAACCAGTTCAGGATCTCAGCGGTTGGGAGGTCAGGTCTATTGCCTGCAACTCAAAGGTTAGTCAAGCAAAACCGATGCTTAGGATCCGGATCCGTTGGATCCGGATCCGCAACATTTTGGCTTCCTGGATCCGGATCCGGATCCGCAAGTATCAATCAAAAACTGTAAAAATATCACTTATGCTTTTAAACCAGGATCTGAATTTCAGAAGAAAATAAAAGATTATTAAAAATTTCTTTATTTCTAAATGGCATAAAAATAAGCGAAAAAAGAAGAAAAATAATCTTTAGTTAAAAAAAAATCGGTAATTCTTAAAGAAATGTTCATGACCTGGATCCGGTCCATTTTTTCTGGATCCGGAACTAAAATGCATCCGTTTCTTTTTGCATATCTTTAGAATTTGACTTAATAAGCAAACACCTGTTAACATGAAATGAATGTCTTTTTTATAGAAAGAACATTCTCTTTCTGACAAAATCTGGTTTCCAATGTTGGGGGCTTATCACATTTTAGTTTCATTTTATTGTCCTATCCTTGTACTGTCCGATCAATTTTATGTCCGAAAAACCTTGATTAAATTAAAGAATTGTTTTTGATTAATAAATCTAGTTTGATCTTTTTGTGTCCAGGGTTGGTTAGCGGCTGCTGACGAGGCTGTTATCGGTTGTATGCCCTCGCCCTGTGTTGGGGAGCTGGGGGCCGGGATGAAGAAGAAATCGTCCGCTCAGCCGACTATTCTTGATACTCTCGACAAGGTTCATGTGCTCAGGTGCCTACACACACTCATTAATTTGAAGTGACCCTCTGATTCACAACGGTACCCTTTAAATCTTTGTTTGTTCGAGGATAATGCTCCTAATTTCTCTAGAATGTTCATAACTTTCTCTTCAATTGCTGAATCATGTTCCAAAACTTTCTCTTCAAGCTGAATCATGTTCTAAAACTTTCTCTACAAGCTGAATCATGTTCTAAAACTTTCTCTTCAAGCTGAATCATGTTTCAAATCTTTCTCTTCAAGCTGAATCATGTTTTAAAACTTTCTCTTCTAGCTGAATCATGTTTCAAAACTTTCTCTACAAGCTGAATCATGTTTTGAAACTTTCTCTTCAAGCTGAATAATGTTTCAAATCTTTCTCTTCAAGCTGAATCATGTTTTAAAACTTTCTCTTTAATCTGAATCATGTTTCAAAACTTTCTCTTCAAGCTGAATCTTGTTTTAAAACTTTCTCTTCAAGTTTAATCATGTTTTGAAACTTTTTCTTCAAGCTAAATCATGTTTCATAACTTTCTGTTCAAGCTGAATCTTGTTTCAAAACTTTCTCTTCAAGCTGAATCATGTTTTAAAACTATCAATGTACAGTTTACAGTGTACAATTTAGTTTCCCGTCACTCCGTTTTTAACAAGAAAACTTACGGAAATCTTCGTCATCGATAAAAAGGGTATCGTAGTGAATCTGACATGTCAGTGTATAAATGGAGGGTCGGAATTCCACAACACTATTAAGGGTTAGATCAGAGAGGGGTGCACACCGCACATTATGCGTTATTTACTGTTTCGGTTTTGGGCCAATATTTTTGTCCTAAAAAAAGGACGAAAAACTCGTAGATTATTCTGAATAGAACTGAATTCGTTTACCAGGGTACGCCCATAATCTATATCCTAGGATCAATATTAAAACAACATTTAAGCGGACAAACCAGACGACCCCAGACGTGGTATATATGAGTATCGTAAGGGGAAGATGGGTGGAATTGTCTGGATCCAGGGAACAACCCCAGAAATCTCTTCTAAATTGTTTTAAAATAATTACTTGTTTCAGGGTTGGAGCAGGACTCTCACATTCTCTGTTCATCGCCAGGAATCAGACAGAGGCAGATAAGAAGATACTGGAGAAATTTCCGGTCATTGATCAAGCTGCACTCGATTAGATCAATCAAGATCAGTTCACTCGTGGACTCGATCACTTCTTGATCAAACCTTCTCCGTATCAATTAAGTTTTATTCAGAGATCAATCAAAATTCGTCATGAGATCATTTTTAAAAGCATTGACCAATCCTTTCAAGAAATTATGTTATTATCAATTTTAATTGAATCAATTAAATCAGTGAAAGTCCAGTCTTTTTGTCAAGATTTTACTACTTAAAAAAAGTGTGATCAAAATATCTCGCAGAAGAGACTTTTCCAAAATCATAGTTCTGATCAGTATTAATGCACACATTCAGTGCATTTCTGCGCGCTAATATTCCAGTGTCGATCACAGTGTTTAAAAATTCGCATTTAATCATATTTTTCATAAAAAGTTTTATAAAATCTCGTTCTCATAATCTGTCCATTGTTAAACATATTTGTAATTATATCAAAGATATTTTAAAATCGCAGCTATTTTCAAAATATTATATTCAAAACCATTAATTTTCTTTTCTGTTGGACCATTGAAAATAATTGTTTCTGAATCTATTGCNACAAGTCTTTTTTAATTGCAAACCTGTTTATTCTTTTTAAAAGATGTATATTTTTCACCAAATATTTTCAGTGGTCGTTGAATCAATAAACAATCAAAGAATCAACACTATTTTGTATTTTATTTTAAGAAAAAATGGAATCCGGAGATGAGATGGGAGGAATAGAAAACGATGATAAATTTATTCAAGAAAATATTGATGACCAAAATAAACCTTTCGAGGATTTTGATTTGACCCAAGAAGAAATTAGTGGAGTGAAAATAAGGGAAGATGTAGATCCTTTGTACAGCACGCCGGTACAAGTGGAAGTCGCGCCCGTACAGTTGGAGGATGTCGTGTCCTCACACGTGATGGATGCCCTGCCCGTAGAGAAAGTCGCGCCTGTACAAGGAAATGGCTTAAATTTGCCCAAACAAGCTGATGTTTCTATTCACAATATTGAGAAGGAAGAGAAGAGCAGAAGGGATTTTCAACGGGATCAGTTTCTCTGGATAGATTCTAAACAAGGCCCTGATATAAAGGTAAACATGGAGTATGTCTCAAAACATGCAAACAGAAGGGACGAAACTAATTTCTAAGCTAAAAGGGAAAATAAATGAAGAAAGGGACGTAAGCCGAAAAGACATTTTTATATCCTTTAACACGTTTTTCCCCCCACAAATAAAATAATTTAATACTTTTCCTTCGCTTTTAAATATTACTAGTCAATTCACTAGTCAATCTTTATCTGGAATGAATTAAAAAGTATTACGAAGAGGGAAAAGGGAACTGAATTTTAAATTTTTCTAGTTAATTCACTAGTCAATCTTTATCTGGAATGAATTAAAAAGTATTACGAAGAGGGAAAAGGGAACTGAATTTTTGCAACAATCTCTTAATTTTCTTATTCCTATATCTTGGCAATCCGATGTTGTAGACCTTTGATATTTGAAGCTTTGAATTCTGTTAGATGAACAAGTCAAAGTTTGAAAGTTCAAAGGTTTACACAATCAGAGGCCGAATTTAAAGAATTTGAGCGGCGGTTTAAATTTAAGCCGCGGTTTAAATATTGCTGGTTCCACTTAAAATTGTATCAAATGTTTCCAGATTTATGCCGGCGCTTAATTTAAACCGGGTTTTAGCGGATATAAACCGCGACTCAAATTCTTTAAATTCCGTCTCAGGTTTAAAAGAAATAAGGATTAGATAATCTTAACTTGTGAGTTGTGGCAAAAACTCAGTTCCTATAGCAGTGTAAGTTTAATTTTTCATTTTCTCTCTTTGTCTTCGTACAATATAGATATGAAATATATACCCGGCATCTGCTCTTTTTTTGTCTATGGGAAGAATGGAGTGTAATCACGTTATTCTATCGGTCCCATCTACTCTTATAAAGAATAAGCTTGGGAACCCGGCGTTTACCCGCACTTGGTCGATTTTAATAGTCAACCCACTCAATTTAGAATCTCATAACCAAGCTAAGAACATTCCCGTGACTCTCCCGAGTTTCCCAATCAAACTTTAAGGCAAATGGGTCCAGGGGTTCCTTAATAATTAGCGGACAAACAAACAAACAGAGATCACAACTTTATATGTATAGATACTATTTAAGGGTTATTGAAAGAATTGAGTGTATAGGGAAGCTCATAGGATCCTACTATCCCATCTTCTCTTATAAAGAATACTATTTCAAGTTTATGGGAAGGATGGAGTGTATAGGGAAGCTCATAGGATCCTACTATCCCATCTTCTTTTATAAAGAATACTATTTCAGGTTTATGGGAAGGATGGAGTGTATAGGGAAGCTCATAGGATCATGCTATCCCGACTGTCCCATCTACTCTGCTCTATTCTGAAACAGAATCAAGATGAGGAAGATGTTGCGGTTATCCTACCAGGTCAGTAAACTTTATTGGAGTGCATTTTTGTTTGTTGAAAATGATATTTATTTTTATGTACATAATTTCCCGAAAAGATAAAAATTCAACATTACGTTCTTCGAAATTTTCTAAACACGTGATTTTCTAAAAATTACTTTTTTCTATATCGCATCCGCTTTTATTCAATTATATATAGAATATTGTTAAAATTTAAATTTAAAAAATAAGTATTTAAAAAAATCTTTTTTTTTTATTCTAAATGATACTTTCCCAAAATTGATTGATTTTCCAATAAAAATCATTTTTCCCCTTTCAGGAAATAAACTCCTAAAAATCATGCCTATCATTCAAGATTGGGTGGGATTTGTGAAGAAAATATATTTCCCTTTTATATAAAGGTAATATATATCCCTGTAATGAAAATTTGAGGCTTGTTGTTTTAGATGTGCCTGGAGCAGTTCTAGACCTAGTACTAGACCTTGTATACCGGGGTTGGGTGGGAGGACTAGGTCTATCAAACATCAGCCAGGTCCGAGATGTTTGTAAAATACTTGACATGAGACAAGAAGACTTTGTAGTTCGATCCGAGGATAAATACAGGTAGAGGCATTTATTATATCCTCCGGGTTAAACATTCCTCACCCCTTCCCCTTCACACAACACTCTCATAAATACAGGTAGAGGCATTTATTATATCATCCGGGTTAAACATTCCTCGCCTCTTCCCCTTCACACAACACTCTCATAAATACAGGTAGAGGCATTTATTATATCATCCGGGTTAAACATTCCTCACCCCTTCCCCTTCACACAACACTCTCATAAATACAGGTAGAGGCATTTATTATATCATCCGGGTTAAACATTCCTCGCACCTTTCCCTTTACACACAACACTCTTTAAATATTTTACTTAAAAATATCTGTATTCAGAAAGTACTAGGTTTTTCGAGTGCTGTGTTCGTATTTTGGCGTTAAAGCTTGGAGATAATCCAATATGATAAGGGACGCTCTGTCTGTAAGTTAAAAAATATTTTTAAAGAAAAAAAATAAAATTTTGGGGAAAAAAAATGTTTGTGGAACACTTAAAAAAAATTTACTGCTGAATTAAATTTAGGTTTTGGGGGTAAATTGAGGGTAAAACAACACAATATGTATTTATGTATTTTAGCTATAGCTGGTCAAACGGTTGGATCGAATTGGCTGAAAGTTTTCGAGGGAGCCATTGAGTACCCCGGGGGTAACAAATGCTTAAAAAATTCTAATTTTTTTTAAATCGAAATATTTTTAAAAATTATTTTTTTAAAAATTCCATGGGCAACGTTGGGCACTTCACAAAGTTGTAAATTTTAATCATTTGGAAAATATTTACCCCTGTCTCCAGGTTGGGGAAGGATATTCTCCACCCCGTGGTATCCCGGGACTCGGATGAACCTGACTCCATCAATCTTAGCTCCGATACCAGAGAGAACAGAAGCAAAACTCAGGTAAATGATTCAGTTAAATATTATCTTAATTCGGTTATATCTTTTCCTGTAGTTTTCTTCTGATTAAAGCAACTTTGAATATACTATTCTTGGATAGATGATATTAGATAGTGACGGGCGATGAGGTTGGGTTTTTTCTCAGAAAGAAGAAGCGAGGGGAGGGGTTCAAAGAACATTTTTAAAAATAAATTACCCTAAATTATCGATAAGTTTGATGTATTAATATGCAGTTTCCACTTCTAATAAGAGTTCCACCCTCCTTAATCATAATAGAAGAAAAATTTAATAATTATTAGTGACTAAATTTTATAAAATAAAAATATTTCCCTACAAAGACTGGACGTAATAACATGTTACCCTAAATTTCAAAAGTTACAAGTCCATTTTATGCGATAAAATTATGGAGAAATCCATGTTTCTCTATCTGGAAATAAATATTTTTCGATGTTGGTTTCTTCAAGATACCAATCTACAATGTCTTTCTTATTGTTACTCATGTTTTTACAGAGTAATTTAAGGTCACTTAAAAATATGTAGACAGACAGTCTTTTAAAATAAAACATCTTGGAAATCATGATCATAAATTTTGATTTTAACGCAACTTTTTTCAGGGCAGTTTCCAGTGTCCGTTCTGCAACAAAACATTTATTTACGCAAAATCTTTCGAGAGACATGAAGAAATATGTACTTCCAATACAAACAACCTGCAGAGAACAGAGACTAACCTTGAAGGAGGAGAAGGAGAAGAAGGAGGAGATGAAGGTGGGATTGAGGAAAGAGATGATGAAGAGGAGGTTAGAGAACCTCCGGATCCCTCGGAGAGGTTGAAGAGAAAGCGGAGAAAACAGGATCGGATCCAGGATCCGGAGGAGGATCAAGATTTTGAAAAGAAACCTTCTGTAGTATTCAAGTAGGAAACCTTCTTTTTTTTGCCCGGAGAAACATAATCTGAGCTGAAAACTTTAGAATGAGATATCCTTAATCCCGACCTGTTAATTAACCTGGAGATTAATAACATGAGGAGAACAAGCATTATTTAATCTCGAGATTAAGAAAAAGAGTGGATCAAGCATTAATCCCGATATCCATAATTCAAAAGTTCCCAGCTCTGATCTCCTTACAAATATAGATACGAAAATTACCCTTTATTTAAAGAGTGGTATGTCCCGAGGGTTAACAAGGGAGGGTACACTAGGGAGAGTACACTAAGGAGAGTACACAAGGGAGGGTACACAAGGGAGAGTACACAACAGAGAGTACACAACAGAGAGTACACAACAGAGGGTACACAACAGAGGGTACACAAGGGAGAGTACACAACAGAGGGTACACATGGGAGGGTACACAAGGGAGGGTACACAAGGGAAAGTACACAACAGAGGGTACACAAGGGAGGGTACACAAGGGAGGGTACACAAGGGAGAGTACACAACAGAGGGTGCACAAGGGAGAGTACACAACAGAGGGTACACAAGGGAGAGTATCTTTAAAATCTGTGTCTGATTATCGATGTCAGTGATATCCATTTTGTTTGTAGAAAATTATCCTTTATCAGATAAAGTTCCACTGTTGTGAATCGGATATGCCACTCTAAAATTGAAAGCTCACTTGAAATTACGTCTTTAATCTTTAAAATAAGTACCATCTAGGTTTGAGCATTATGAGGAGCAGGACGGAGAGTATTTCTGCAGGTTTCCGGGTTGTACTTACTCCGACCCGTTCAAGACCTTGGAGAACTGCAAAAACCACCAACTCCTACTCCATGCATCAGTACAGGAGAAAATATTCTTATGTGATTTCTGTGATGAAAGATTTTCTACGATTCGTCTTCGGAATAAGCATATTAACGCGGTGCACAATAAAAGATTTGAATGTGATCAGTGTGAAAGAAAGTTTAGTGAAAAGACTAGGTTAACAATACACATGAGAACCCACACTGGGGAGAAACCCTTTGTTTGTGATCTTTGCGGATATTCGTGTAATCAGAGGAATAACTTAAGGAAACACAAAGGAAAGGGATCATAATACATGTTTATTTTGACAATAAACTAGCCAAGAATCTAGCTGTGGATTTATTTAGAGAGAGGGGGTTGGAGTCCAACAAATCTGGGCGAAGGTTGAGCATTTATTAAATATTTAGGAGAACTATGAATAACATTTTCTTTAATTAAAAAATTCAAGTTCATTATTTAATTTGTGTGCTAATCTCCGTTGGTCTCTAAATCTGAAGTATGGCTTTAAGATCAAACGCCATTGATTGATTAATTGATTGACTGCTAGGCCTTCAATTGAATTGCAAAAGTTTTGTAAAGCCAAGCTTTTTTATTTTTTAAGTTTAAAATATCATGATTCCTTGTTTAAAGAACTGAGACATAGCTCTGCGGGGGAAGCGAGAATGTTTCCCTGTGATATCTGCAGTGCTGTGTTTAATACTAAAGGGAACTTGAATAGACACAGAGCAAGGCACGACGCCAACACAGTATTACCGTTTGTCTGTGAAACCTGTGGGAAGAATTTTAAGGTTGGTTTTGTTTTTAAAATCAAATTGTATTGTTTACTAGATGCAGTGTCTGAATTTGCTGTGGGTTTTGAAAATAGACTAATATATAAACGACCTCCCGCTGAGAAAATATTAATTTTTATGGATATGCCACCTGTCCTATGTTACCGATGGTGGCAAATGAAATTTTTGGATTGTTAAATCCCTCTAAACTCTAAAGTGTTAAAGTTTGGCCAGCTTTATGTTACATATTTATACAATGACATACATACAGGATACAGGATACAGGATTACAAAGGATGAGTCTTAAATGACGACCTGAAACTCTTCTAATACTGTGATCTGAATGTTGAACTTGGCTCCCTGCGTTTCATATTTGACCAAAAGAAATAAGTTTACAGTTGCGAGTAAACAGACATGTTGGAATAAAGAACAATCATATTCCGTACAGTTGTTGTCTGTAATATCTCATCCTCTGTGGGTAACCCTGTATTTACATATTTAGAGACTCTGCTATTGTTGGGTCATTTTCACTAATGATGTTGTAAACAGTGGTCGGCGTTTATATCAATACAATGAAGACGACTTTACTATTAAAATTTTAATTTCTAACAATCTTTATAAAATAACAAGTTGACAAGAAAACAAAGAGAAGCTGTTAATTGACAGCTTCTCTTTTTTTTCATTCTTATGTTTATCCATGCTGTTACAAAGCTTGGCACTCTGGACTCTGAATCCAGCGATCCGAGTTCAAATCTCGGTGAGACCTCTAACTTTTTCATTGCACTCAGAGAAATGTGTTCTATATAATGATTTTCCTACAAGGGTTGCAATCTTCAACAGGCCTTGATAAATCGAAAGTCGTCTTCATTGTATTGATATATACGACGACGACTGTAAAATACAAAAGTTTTTAAAACAGCAGTAAGGAAATCACTTAAAATATACTAATCTGGGAACAAATAAAAAATATTATTAATAAATAATCTGATTTATTTAGGATCATGGTACTCTGAAGCAGCATTCCTTTAGTCACGGAGCAGCAAAATATAACTGCCAGGTGTGTGGAGCAGCATTTACATCTCCTCTTTACTTATACAGGTAGCAGCACACATAAAGAAGTTGTACGCTTAAAAAATATATATTTACAAACTACAAAGTTGTTTTTCATATCAAAGCTTCGCTGCTATGCATATCGAGTTCTTTTTTGAGTGATGTATGATATATTTATTCTGTATCTACTGGAAAGTAATAATTGTCTATATTTAACTAATCTGAAATAGAATAATGACGATGCTCTTTCATCTAGAATTGGATTCCAAGGTATATTAAATCCTTGACGGCACTCTCAATTGTAGGGTTAATTAGAATTGCGTTCACAAAAGTTCAAAGTAATTTATTTTTAAACTTTTACTCATAAAAGACAAAATTTATCCTTTTCTGATATAAACTTATTTTATGTAGACACACGCTGCGAAAGCATCCCACTGACGGAGTCCAGCCCTATACCTGTGATTTATGTGATAAAGGATTTCCTTTAAAGCATCAACTGCAGATTCACATTCAAGCAGTTCATGAGAAAGTCAAGTACAGCTGTCCTCATTGTCATCAACAGATGGGGCGGAAAACTTCTCTTTATAGGTAAAAGTTCAGGGGTATAATTTTTTGTCGAAAAATCATTTCCCCCTTGCTCGTCCGTTGATATTCAATCCCCCCCCCATCTTAGAAAGCCGTTCATCCTTCTCTTCCAGGGGTGGAGACCTAAACCGCGTTGGTCAGAATGCAATTCAGAATTTAGATGGCAAATTGGATGCAATGTCCTTTGGGTTAATGTTAAAAAATTTATATTAAATATATTTGCATTTTTGGGTAAAAAACCCGACGTTATTCTTCTTGTTATTAATTTTGGACCTATTTTAGGCATATTAAATCAGGCAGATGCAGCGGAGAAGCCAAAGTATCCGTCCTACAGGAGAATATCCTGACCCAACCCAACCTTCAAATCCACCAGCTGGTTAAACCATATATACCGGAGCAGAGGTTTGAGGACGGATCCCTAGGGACAGATGAGTTTACCAGCCTCGCAGGGGAGGTCACAGCACTTGGAGAACTTGTTCCTACTTATCATGTTTATGTTACTACCCAGCCTACCCAGCAGTTCATGAAACCAGATACAGAGTAGGGATAGTTAATTTCCTCCTGACTACCATGTTTATGTTACTACCCATCCTACCCAGCAGTTCATGAAACCAGATACAGAGTAGAGATTGTTGATTACCCTCCAACCTATCATGTTTATGTTACTACCCATCCTACCCAGCAGTTCATGAAACCAGATACAGAGTAGGGATAGTTGATTTCCTCCTGACTACCATGTTTATGTTACTACCCAGTACCCATCCTACCCAGCAGTTCATGAAACCAGATACAGAATAGGGATTTTTAATTTCCTCCTGACTACCATGTTTATGTTACTTCTCATCCTACTCAACAGTACAACAATTAAAGGCCATTTGCGCTAGGCTCAAATTAAAGAAAATTGATTATCTTTCGATCTATAATCTACATGTATTTCAAATATGTAGCGCTTGTAAAAATAAAACCCTAAGGTTTAAAAAACATTAGGTTATAATAGAGATTTTTAAAATATCTCAATAGCTAATAACAAGAAAGAAAATATCTCAATAGCTAATAACAAGAAAGAAAATGTTACAATGCACGATGTTTTTTAGAATTTACATTTTATGGAGAATATTTTTTATTTGTCTACTTTTTAGCAAAAAGCTATTCCTAAAAAGGTCAGAGTCATTCCAAGGTTTGTTGAAAAAAACACCTATAAATAAAAGCTATTTTATCTTTATTCTTGCACATTATTCTATAGCTTTTGGTGTAATTATAATGTTATTTTGACGCCATCACAGAGTTAGCATTTGAAAATTTTGTTTTAATACATTTAAATTGTCATTAATAAATGGTAGAATATTCCCGGAAGACTGTTTGGGGGAGGATAGGAAGAGGATGAAATGAATGAACAGTTTTGAAATAATCATGATAGAAACCTCTGGTGGGCGGTTTACAGTTTTTTAATTGTTCCTAAGTTAATTCTGAAGATGCAGAAGATGATACCAAATCTGTGATAAAAATATCAAAATAAATCTAATAAATTTACATATTTCAGAACTAAAATGAGCGAATCTAAAATTAATGAGTTTAAATTAGACCCGTTGCAGCTCAAACAGAAAAAGATACGAACCAACCTAGGGAATATTTGTTAAGATCTTTTAAGTTTTAAGTCATGATTTTCTACTCTCATGTTGGAAGGATCAAGTTGAGATTTTGAAGAAGAAAAATCATGCAATAAGTGCCACAAAAAAGAAACCCTCATAAGTTTTCGTTGCATATTATAAATCAAGATTGCTTAGGTTAATTATTATTAATCAAAATTGTTTTAGTTGATTATTATTAACTAAGATTGATTTAGAGGATTTATCTCGAGATGAACTAATTCAGAAAATAATATCTCTAGAGGTTCATGTTCAACAACTCAGGTAGAAATTATAAGCTATAATTATTTTAAACGTCTCAACATACTATATTTGGGACTATTTCTGATGGTCGTGTCTGTACCAAGAAAATGATGCAATGTTCAGAGGTTAATATTATGGAACTTAAATGATTGGGAGTCCAAGTCTGAAATCTTCAGGTTGCAGAATTGATCGTAGTTATTATTTTATAACATATCAATAATAATTATTTCATCATAATTAGTGTTTTGTTAGAAAATAATAATTAATGATACTTTTTCATTGTCATAGATTTTTAACATGTTTTTAACCAGAAGACTAAAGTTTACATGTCATACAATTTTAGCCTAGAGATACTAAATCATGAGATTTGAACATTCAGTTTTTTTTCTAAGAAGAGTTTCGTCGGATTTATATTGAATTGAGAAATTTGGACATGTTATTTTTTTTCTGAGAAGATTTTGACATGAAGTTTTTTGTTGAAAAAGTTTTTTTTTGTTTTTCGGAAAGATGTGAAACCAACAGATTTTAACATGTTCATTTAAAATGAATATCCGTTTTGTCCTCAGGAAAGTGTCGTGTCATTTATTTTAATAAAGTTATGTCGGAAGACATCCAAAAAATTTTCTCTCTTCTACACAAATAGTTTTTTTAGTCCATAGTTTAAACATTAGGTTAAAAGGTTAATTATTTTATCTCCCTCAGGTTCGTTATGGTATTTTACGGTTTCTATTTTTGATATATGGACACTATAGCTAAGTTTAGTTTTGTTGTTTATTTTTTCCTTTGAACAACCCACTCACCCATGATTATTAGAAGACGCTATCTAAAATAAGTTCTAAAATTCTAAAACAAAATTCTTTATTTCAAAATATTGGTTTCAAATCTTTCTTTAGTTACTGATGTCGGTACACACTCCATCATGGCATTTTTTACACCTTTTTACACATTTCCCATTAGAACAGGAATAGGAGCAGCTTTCTTGATGGCTGCTTCCACCACCACCATTATTGCTGCTTAAACTGCTAGTCGCAACACCCCCGCCAGAAAAACTGCTGCTTACATAAGGAGTTGCGTTAGATCCGCTATTAACTATGCTGCTGGCGGGCCGTTTAACGTAGTTGGTGGATGGTCTATCGTAGTACACGAAGGCCGGTCTGAAAAAGCTGAAGAAGTTTGAGAAATCCAACGGACGAAACGGCGCAAACGGGACAAAAGGAGTATAAAATGGGTACTGAGGGGCTCCAGCTTTCTCAGCAACCTAAATATTAAGTAGTTCAAAATCATTTTACACATTTTTATTTTCATGATAAACCAAAAAAAATCTTACCTGGAATACTATAGTTATCAAAATGATCCTTAAAAACATGTTGAGGGTTTGCTTGGTAGAACCATACTGGTGATCACACAATTGATACGCACCCAGTCCCCCCTCCCTTAGTTACTTGTACAGAGATGCCGACTTCAACCCTTCTCCACCTTTGGCACGCCCTGGCCCTCTATATTGAAGTCCCTTCTAGGAACATTAAGTTGACCGTTGTAATTCCTACGGTCACAGCCAGAGAAAATGAGTCTGTATATAAATGTAAAAAAAATACCAAATGTACAAAATCGTTGATAAAGATGGAAATTAAAAAAATATGAAAAAGGTATAATTTTAGATTCTTTATATGCCCATTTTAAAGTACATGAAACGCCTTAAACTAAACTAAATTGGACTGGATTAAAATCTTAAAGGTTTTCAATCATAACTCAAATAAATTTCCTTTTCTTATACTTGTAAGTAAAAGCAAAACTAAAGGAGCTACGATGTTAAAAAGTCGTTCTAATAATGTTGCATAAATTTGACTTACAACTCTGCCTAGTGATCTATTAACTAAATAGATTTAAATCAAGAAATATAGAAATCTCAAAATAAAGGAACAATTGCAAAAACCCTTTTTATTCTACTCTGCCTCTCTACCCTCCTCCTACCATAAAACAGCTTGATCAACTGTCAGACATTCCCGGTTGCGCAACAAGAAAACTAAAGATTTAGTAATACTACAAAACAGAATAAATTTCATCTGATGTCATATATATATTTAAAAATATTGTAAAACTAAATTAAAATAAATTATTAAAGTTAAAAAAGATTTAAATCTACATATTCGTAGATTTTGAAAATTTTTTATAATTAAAAAGAATCTTAATTATTCATCATTTTGGCCTTCTTCACCATTGTTTACAATGTTTAGATTTTGTTATGTTCCTCGTTAAAGGGACTGTCTACTTAATCTCAAGTGACCCCCATCTACAGAGTTGCATGTACGATTAACAAACATTTCTCTGAGCAAGGATGAATGAGATACCCATATTTTTCTACCTTCAAATGAACTTTTTTCAATTGTGGTTTTAAAAGTGTTATGTGGATTTATGCTGCTTAGACAATGAAGAAACTGACAGAATGCAACGTGATTTAAAATAAAAAAACGATAATTTCTTCCATATAACTACCCAAATAAAATGCAATGTGGTACCGTTGTGGCTCTGACATAACTCTCTTTAATTGGAGGAGCACTTAACGTCTGTAAATGAAAATTTTTCCTAGAAATGTGATCGCAAAGAACAGTAACTCTGATCTCCCTGTTGCCCTGAATGCTGCGAAGAAAGAAAGAAAGTTTGATTTTTCTAACTATAAGAGACGACATGTTTTACTCAAAATATGTTATTTTGGATGGGACTACCACGGTTTTGCAGTACAGGTCAGGACTCATAAAATACTTTTTGTCTTTTTTTTTAATTTAAAGCTTTAATGCCCTGATGTATTTCATTAAAATTTAGATTTAGTGTGGAATGATTATAAATAAAACACATTTTTTCAATCAGTTAAAGCTTTTTTAAAGAAAACCTTTTAGATATGTTGATTCCTCATTTTTCTTTTTTATTTCACTCCAAACATTGTTTATAAATATTGTTTAAAGGAGGACTCTGGTAAAACTATAGAATCAGAACTTTTCGCAGCTCTACATAGGTTAGTGGCTTTTTTCTTTTACCACTCGCCTCTTTTCCCCCCGCACTTCTTGACAATAATGAATGGTACTTGTCACTTGGAGTTGGAAGGCCAGCCTACAGTACCTTTAAGTTTTAAATATAAATAAAAGTGGTCACGTGTCTCTGTCTGTATCACTTAACCAGTGTACTACACTCTTTTTGGCGGGAGCACTTGTGACGTAATACGGACTCATAAATAATATCATCCATTATATCTATTAAAAATTAAATAAAAATTATAATAATTGGAGAAAATCTAAGTTCCAATTAGGTTTCTCTGGGATATCTTTATTTTCAGATTGGTTGCATATTTGCTGAATATGATCTGTTTAAACCTACTATTTCTATGCAAAATTGTTTATATATATATATGAATTTTCGTATAATTTTAACACAGTTTTATATCAATTTCTCGTGACAGGAACATTAGATATAACTTTCATAGGTCGCGATCAAGAGCAAAAATGATAAGTTTTCCGCCTATTTCCCCTTTAAATTTTCCTTTACAGTCCCTTTAAGTATTTACTAAGGTTAAATAAAAAACCTTTCCTGTGTTTGCTAGATTTTTTCCTATATAATATTTCAGGACCAAGCTGATAGAAAGCAGAGAACAGAGTAACTACCATAGATGCGGCAGAACAGATAGAGGAGTGTCAGCTTTTAGTCAAGTTGTATCCTTGGATATAAGGTAGTAAGAACTAAGCAAACGTGTAAGTAAGTGAGCAAGTGAGCAAGTGAGCAAGTGAGCAAGTGAGCAAGTGAGCAAGTGAGCAAGTGAGCAAGTTGAGCAAGTGAGCAAGTGAGCAAGTGAGCAAGGGAGCAAGGGAGCAAAGGAGCATGTGAGTAAGTGAGCAAGTGAGCAAGTGAGCAAGTGAGCAAGTGAGCAAGTGAGCAAGTGAGCAAGTGAGCAAGTGAGCAAGTGAGCAAGTGAGCAAGTGAGCAAGTTGAGCAAGTGAGCAAGTGAGCAAGTGAGCAAGGGAGCAAGGGAGCAAAGGAGCATGTGAGTAAGTGAGCAAGTTATAGCAAGTTAGCAAATGATCGATTGAGCAAGTGAGCGAGTGAGCAAAGGAGCAAAAGAGTAGGCGCAAGGAAGTAGATAAAAACTAAGTTTGATGAAAAAAATTCTGTCATAGAACAAACTTGGCCGAAGGGGAGGGTGTGTATGCACAAGACAGTTATACTGGTTCACACACCAATATAAAGGTAAAAATTAGAATTGGATTGACTTGGATAGACTTGGATAGACTTGGATTGACTTGGATAGACTTGGATAGACTTGGATAGACTTGGATAGACTTGGATTGACTTGAATAGACTTGGATAGACTTGGATAGAATTGGATAGACTTGGATAGACTTGGATAGACTTGGATAGACTTGGATAGTACTTTGTCATATCGTGAACCTATCTAGATGCAGAGATAGATTACTGTCATATCTTGAACCTATCTAGATGCAGAGATAGATTATTGTCATATCTTGAACATATCTAGGATACAGAGATAGATTACTGTCATATCTTGAACATATCTAGGATACAGAGATAGATTACTGCCATATCTTGAACCGGAATCTACCTGACAACATCAAGGTTACAGCCTGGGCTCCAACCAACACCGTCAGCTTTAGGGATCAGGAAAATTAGTAACAAAGTGTCGATTTAAATAAATAAATTATTTCAAAGTCTATTTTTTCTAAAAATAGAAATATTTAAAATGCCATACTTTAAAATATTTACTCATTAGACGCTACCTCATAGAAAGCTGCCACCAATTGGCCAAAGTGTAAAATTTTATTTTGAGAGTCAAATATATAAAAACTTGATTTTATTTTCTTATTTACCGTAGCGTAAGATTTGATTTGGACAGTTTTAAGTTAAAAAAAAACTTGATCTTATTTCCCAATGTAACATTTTCTTTCTAGAGTCAGATGTTAAAAAAAATCTTATCTTGTGCATCTGTGTACCATAGTGCAAGATTTTATTTTAAGAGTCATCAGTCAATATTACTTAATCTTATTTTCCGTGTACCGTAGTGCAAGATATTTTTTAAGAGTCATCAGTCAATAATACTTACTCGTATTTTCCGTGTACCGTAGTGCAAGATATTTTTTTAGAGTCATTAGTCAATTTTACTTAATCTTATTTTCCGTGTACCGTAGTGCAAGATGTTATTTTAAGAGTCATCAGTCAATTTTACTTAATCTTATTTTCCGTGTACCTTAGTGCAAGATATTATTTTAAGAGTCATCAGTCAATATTACTGAATCTTATTTTCCGTGTACCGTGATATTATTTTAAGAGTCATCAGTCAATTTTACTTAATCTTATTTTCCGTGTACCGTACTGCAAGATATTGTTTTATGAGTCATCAGTCAATATTACTTAATCTTATTTTCCGTGTACCGTGATATTATTTTAAGAGTCATCAGTCAATTTTACTTAATCTTATTTTCCTACTGCAAGATATTGTTTTATGAGTCATCAGTCAATATTACTTAATCTTATTTTCCGTGTACCGTAGTGCAAGATATTATTTTAAAGCCATAAGTGAAAAATACTTGATCTTATTTTTCAATGTACCGTATTGCGAGATTTTATTTTACGAGTCATTTGTTAAAAATACTTGATCTTATTTTCTATGTTCCTAAGTACTTTGAGAGACTTACTTTGACTTACTTTGAGAGACTTACTTTGAGAGACTTAAGTTAAACATATTGGATCTTTTTTCCAACGGAAACGGAGAGTTTTAAGTTAAAAATACTTGATTTTATTTTCCATGTACCTGCAAGATATTATTTTAAAAGACTTCAGTTAAGAATATTTTTTTATTATGTACCGTAGTGCAAGAGTCATAATTTAAAAATACTCGATCTTATTTTCCTATGTACCGTAGTGCAAGATTTGACTGCCAGAGTAGAACATACAAATACTTTTTCCCCCGGGGATTGTTGGACCTCCAGAGAATGGAGGACGGAGGTCAAAACCTCGTTGGATCACATGACTTCAGAAATTTTTGCAAGGTATGTCCTAAAACAATCAGACATTTGTTCATAACAGACTTCAAACTGTGCACTCGTTCAAAAGACAACCCTAAGAGGAAAACTAAAGATAAACGAAACTTCTTTACCAAGGACTAGTTTTAATGAATACCGGGAAGTAGTTGAACTACTTAATTACAGAGTTGAACAACTTCTCTTGAACTAGAACCAGCCCATGAGAAAAAATGGTTGAAATTAGCCTGTGCAGTTGAACTACTAGTGAAAAGTAGTTGAACTACTTAGACTAAGTTGAACAAATTCTCTTGCACTTGATCGAGCGGCGCACAAGAAAAGTGGTTCAACTTACTTTACGCAGTTGAATCACTTCTTTCTATTCAATATTTTTGTCCCAGGATCTAGCTGTATTTAGTGCGGTAAATTTATTATTAATTATACTTATTTGTAATTGTATGCCAATAAACATGAATTAAGTAATTTCAAAACAAACTAACTCTATAGGGTGTCCAACTAAACATGGGAACTAATTGGTAACTTAAAAATCTTCTTTGGTTTCCAATAGTTAAGAAATGACGAACGAGTGCTTAAAAAAGATATTTTACGGACTGTATAATCGCCAAAATCTAGTCTTCCCCTGTTTTATATTTAAAATTGGTATTTTAACATTTGAACATTGTGTTCATTTTTACTTATTTGAACTTTCAACAAATTCCCAGAATGTCCGTCAATTTTGAAGGTGAAAAAAAGGTTGACCACATGTTGAAAATTAGAGACTTATTTCGGTGATAATTGTTTTAACTGGGAAAAAAATAAAGTTATGTTAATAAAAAAAATCCCGCGTAGAATAAAGACGAGGACTTAATCCTCATATTTAATGGGACACCCTGTAGACAATTTATTATGGTAGCGTAGCATACAACTCTTTAGATGGACGTGAATAACGGTGTTGTAAGCTACACGCGGCGTGTTGACGCACTAAGTGTGTCCTGCGTCCTTAAAGAGGACAAAGACAAGGACAGCCCCTACGACATGTGTGTCCTCACAATAGGAACGGGAGAAAATCAAATATAATTGATGATTATAATAATTTTGATTAGATTAGACATATAAAGCAATTCCTGGCCTAGCTAAGCTAAGAATTTTAAGTTTACTATCGTACTATACAAGAAAGATACAACAGGAACACTAAAGTCTCAGTCTAAAATCTCGACCTTTGTGGGTTACCCTTTATAAAATGAAAGGCTATACACTTTTTATATAGGGGGGTTTCTGGTAATTTCTTGTAATTTAAAGTTTAAAATCTATATTTCATAAACAAATTTAAATTTTTCATGAATTAACCCTTTCATGGATTCTTAATTAGACAATCCTTAATTAAACCATTCATACTTCAAAACTGATAAAATTAGACACTTCTTTATTCTTTAAAATGTGGAGGCGACACAGCAAATTAATGAGAAATTAAAGACTTCTAAAAAATGAAACATATTTTATTTTATTTACTCCTGTCCAGTTGGTAAAGCGTATCTATGGCATCAAATCAGACTCATAGTCTCAGTTCTCTTCCTCATAGGAGAAGGAAAGGAAGATCCAAGCGTCGTCAAAGAACTTCTAGGTTAGAAACAAAATTTGGAGAAAGAACTTAAGCTTTTATATTTTTTTATTAGATGTGGAAAAAAATCCTCAGCGGCCGGCATACGGCATGGCCGCCGATTATCCTTTAAATCTGTTCAGCTGTGATTACGATGGAGTGGAGTGGAATTATGATCAGGTATTTACTATTACTATTTGTATGCGTTAATTACAATGTTTTAATTAAATTACTTTTAAAAACGAAGAAATTTGTTTTCTATTTTGTGCGTCCTAACTCCTCATACTTGGAAATAAATAAGATACTAAGTGTAAATCTTGGTGCCTAGAGTAAATTTACATTTGTCTGTTTTTAGCTATTTGTTTGTTTTTATATTTACATATTTTTTATTTGGTTAAAGTATTTTGTTTAATCTCGTCACAAACTCCATCTTGTACTTGTAGTTGTCCCTGGGGTTCGTGCTGAGGACCTTTCAGAAGATGTGGGTCGAGACTAACGTTAAATCTCAGGTCAGATTTCAGGGAGTTCAGCGGAGTTGAATATAGTCAGATAATAACGATATAGTTAGATATAGTTAGATAATAATGATATATGTACTTAAATGGAGTTTCAGGGAGTTATGGGAGTTTTAGATAGTTAGAGGGAGGTCGCGGTAAATAAAGGTAGTGACCGGAAGTTAACGAGAGTTTTAAGGATAAGTGGGAGTTATAGGGAGTTTCAAGAATTTACAGGGAGATAATAGAGATGAAGGGAGTTGATAAATAAATGAAGTTGATATATAAACGAAGTTTATATACAAATGGAGTTTATATACAAATGGAGTTGATATATAAATGGAGTTTAGATACAAATGGAGTTGATATATAAATGGAGTTTAGATACAAATGGAGTTGATATACAAATGGAGTTTATATATAAATGGAGTTGATATACAAATGGAGTTGATATACAAATGGAGTTGATTTATAAATGGAGTTTACATACAAATGTAGTGGATAAACAAATGAAGTAGATTTACAAATGGAGTTGATATACAAATGGAGTTGATATTTAAATGGAATTTATATACAAATGGAATTGATATACAAATGAAGTTGATATACAAATGGAGTTGATATACAAATGGAGTTGATATACAAATGGAGTTGATATACAAATGGAGTTGATATACAAATGGAGTTGATATACAAATGGAGTTGATTTGTAAATGGAGTTAATTTGTAAACGGAGTTGAAATACAAATGGAGTTAATATATATTATATAAATAGAGTTGATATACAAATGGAGTTGATTTATAAATGGAGTTGATATGCAAATGGAGTTCATACATTACTGGAGTTGATATACAAATGGAGTTGATACATTACTGGAGTTGATATACAAATGGAGTTGATATATAAATGGAGTTGATATACAAATGGAGTAAAAGGGAGTAGAGAATCTAAAAATAAGGCGAAGCGGTTATTTTTATTACTTTTTAGATGATTCGAAGTTGTCTTGAAGACCTAGAGAAACATGCTCAAACACCGGTAAATTAAAAAATTTAATTTATAAAAAGATCTGTAAACTGTAATTTTGCATGATTATGTTTTTAGGTTCATGCACAAGTTGATCCTCTTTTTGTGTTCAAGAAAGAGAAGGTAAATTACTATTTCTATTGATTATCCCCCCCCCCATAGCAAATTTTGACCCTTCTCGTCTCTTTCCGCTGCTAGACTTTTCATGATTCTGGGTTTTTTTCCCTTTGAATGAGAAATCAAGCCTAACGGGAAAATTTCTCTTATATGCCTGAATTTGATGCCAAAAATCGATTTTGCCTCAAAGTGTAATTTCAGCCCAATGTAAACCTTTTATAAATTAATATTAAAAGCCATGAAATCATAAATAATGAGTTATTGCATTAAAGTGACTCCCTATTTTAAGTATTCCCAACAGTACCATTTAAGCAATTTATCTGAGAAATAATGATGTAGATATCTTCGTTTTTCTATCTGAAAACTCTTAAATCCGCTCTATTTCCTTACTTATATCTGTTTCATAAACTAAAGAGAAACTACAATTGGAAATCATCAATGGAAATATCTTTTTCTGTTGAAAGTGAAATTAACTAATCATCTTTTTTTCAGGTATATACTCCATTGTTGAAGATGCCGAAGTGTCCCAGTCTTGAGGATAAAATCGTGACCGTGGCTAAGCGACGTAAACTGGACATTGATTAAACAAAGGATTATTTTCAGATACAATGTTAACCCTGGCGGGAAGATTAAAGGTGATTCCTGCACAGTTTTCCGTCCTTCCGGAGCAATGTGCGTCCTTCCTTCAGCTGTTTTCGCTAACAAAGCAGTGTGCGTCCTCCGTGAAGGAGCAAAGACGGGGAATGGCTCGAGGAAGGAATTACTATATCAAGGGAGCCAGCCAGAAACAGCAGATTAGCGAGGAGGCCAGGGAACTACTGAAGAACAGAAGGCAAGTTATTAAAAACCCTTTTAAGAGATTGAGTTTGACGTTGAATGGTAAATCTTGCTTGGACCTTTTTCCTCTTGAGGGCAATACCCCACACCGCAGACTCCCTCCGGGGG